CCTATCTTGATAGCTTTCTAGCTGTTGTGGGTAAAAGATCCTAGTCTACCTTACACTTCACATAAGCTGATGATTCATTTACATCATTTTTCATTCATTTGCCATTGCGGCTATGAAAACCAGTAAACAATATCATAAACACAAAATGAGAGAGAGAGAGAGAGAGAGAGAGATTACATGATCAAGTTATCAGCCAAATCCTCAACAGACTCACTAGTTACAAATAAGAACTAAGAGGGAGCTCACTATATCTTCTATAAAAGGAAAGTAGAAGAAAATGCAACTACCGCTAATAAATCTAGCTGGAAATTTAATTTCATAAATATAAAGAGAATCTTCCAAGAATATGATGTGAGCCAATAAATACAACCACCAAATCTTCGTCAGCAACACATGTGAAAGTATGCAGGAGTTACAGAAAGAAACAACATTTCTCAACATGCATCCATTTCTGTTTACCTGAGTGATGCACTAAATACAAAACCTTACAACCGATTTGTCTGAAACATGGAAAGGGAAAATACATGATTTTTTTTTGGACAGAAATTCAGAATGGCCTTAAAGAACAGATAAAAAGCCCACACAAGATCAATTATTTGAAGGCTCACTGCTCTGGTAGAAACATATTTACTCCAAATGTATTACTTTCTACTGCTCGATCCAACTAAATATAATATAAATGAGAACCCTTTATTCACAAAACACACAAACACACTGAAAAAATAAATAAATAATAAATAGTAAAAACTAACTTGCCGGAAAAAGTCCCACAGGAAACACATTTTTAGCTTCAATTGGGATTAGCACTGCACAAGGACTAAAAAGTGCACATACCCACTACACCATTAGGAGTAAATTAACAAAAGAATTAGAGAAAAAAGTGTGTCACGTTTGGATTTGAGAGAAAATGGAATTGGGATGCGTTCACTACAGAAAAACGCATTGAATCTACAAATCACCATTCAAATGTTACTCATTGTCAAACACCCAAAAAAACCAAACCAAAACGCAAATAAATTCAAATTCTACTCTGCAGAACATACAATGAAGAATTAACCATAACTTAAGAGAAACAATTTCTTTCCTCGAAGGAAAAATAAACAAAAAAAAAAAAAAAAAAAAAAAAAAAAAAAAAAAAGGTTCTTGAAGTACCTGAAGCTGACAGTAGAGTGAAATTGCAGGACATGTAAAAACCCATTTATGAGCGACTGAGAAAAGAACAAAGGCCCGGTTTTGGCTTGTGATTATGGCGTGATCCCATCACCAAATCATACAATTTCTGCTGTTTTTCCTCTCAATAAAGTGCATAAAAAACTGAGTGCTCAAACTTGAGAAAGCCGCGACTGGTTGTTTTTTCTCTCTTGGCCCTGTAACATCCAAACACATATTAAAATTACATTTACATAAGGGACAAATATATATTGCTGCGATGGGTAAAAGATTTTTTGCTTTTGTGATTTTGTAGAGAGATAATTCATGAGAAAAAAGACGTACCTTCCACTTTTCTCAAACACTCTACAGTCTACTCTCTCCCTCTTCACCTGTTCACTGTTGTGGGTTTTAATGTTATTTCCTAGAAAATATCATTGGTACATCAACTTTTCTTAATTGTCGTTCAGGTACTTAAGAATTTTTAAATGAGTATTTATTAGAATAAATAATTCTTGTAAATATGGGTTGTACTTATTTGTGTTTTTGAATGGTATTTTAAGAATATTTAAAAGTTTATATTTTCTTAGAATTTTTCTATTTCACTAAAATATTGAAAATCTTAGGTTTGGATGCTCGATGTGGTGGTAGAATTTTATAAATGTAATTTGTATTTAAAATATCAATAAATATTACAAAGTTCAAATGAAATTCAATGGTAACTAACTTCAGTAGCTCATAATTTTTTCAAAACATTTTTAAATCTCAATGAATATCTGAAGAGTTTTGAAAGTAAGATCGAAGTTAAATACAAAGTAATTATTGAAATTCAACAAATAATTAAAAAATCAATCAAAATGAATACCAAATGTGTAATTGATTTAGAATTTCGAGTGAAGTTTTAAAAAAAGTTTAAATTTATTTTTTTTAAGGCTTTCATGTTTAAGAGAAATTCTTACAAATCTTATGTCTGGATTCTAGAGGAGAGACTTTNAAAAATGGATAGATAAATTGAATGCCTTAAATTTTGTTTTAAGACTTTGAAATCTCAAATACAATCTCATGACTTTTAAAAGTTTTATAATAAAGTCCAAATTAATACATTGTGAGTTTTATAATCAGAAAAAAGTATTTAATAAATATCACGATTCACGGGCATATTTGGCCCCAAATCCTGATGTATAAATGACAACACACACCTCTATTCTTTTTATTAAATGCTAATTACCATGTGTATTTTTTATTAACCACTGGAGATGGCTTGAATGCTTCTCGTAACGTGCTCATAAATTGTCTTCACACATCATGAAAATGTAAATAACAATGAACGTGTTGATTTTTAATGTTAATTATAACTTTCAGTTATTTTCTTATTTTATGTTGAGAAGTTAGCACGTTCTACTTTCATTTAGTAATAAATTTTGAACTCATTGTATGTATGACATTTAGTGTACAACAGTCAAAACCCACACTTAACAATAAAGAAACCAGGATACATGATCGAATATAATTTTGAGATACAGCAGTTGTACAACAATAATTTAATCATTTGCATATTTTTATATTAATTATCATACTGTAATCAACAATAAAAATAAAACAAGACAGTTTAAATTTAATATATATATATATGTATGCATATTTGTTTCCTAATAAGTCGACTTGCCTATTCATGATCAGTGGTCAAATTTAGGAATGATGGTGTATTAATTTCTTTGCTTCAAAGCTCATTGCAGTATATGATTTTGCTAATTCCTTTGTCTCTAAGCAGCTGATGCATGTTATTTTCCTTTTGCTTTTTAAGTTTTTATTGTCAATCATACATTTTTTACGATAAAAACACTTTGGTTGATGTTAGCCACATTTAAGATATATTTTACTGTAATAATCATTTATGAATTAATTAACCTTTTTCATTATTTTGCCTGTGAACATCATTAAGGGAAATCCGAATTCAGGTCCGTAATATATTAACTGTGATGGTGTGAAGATTTTTACCCACTCCAACTCGTTTGGAGAATTCACATAAAATAAAAACTTGATTTCATTTCTCAAATTCCAATCTACCACTTTAACATTATCATTAATGAGGTTTGCAACCATACACTGTAAAATCCTGCTTTATCAGAAGTGTATTAATCTTGAGTAAATTCCCAAACGGCCCACTGATTAAATAGGGCTTTCCTCTTTAGAATAATATATTTTTTTCTCCCCATTTAGTAGACTACTTTCAATGATTCAATTTGTTTGGTGTTGGAGTGACACTGATTGTGTTTTGTGAGCAAAGATTTGAGATCTCCATCTCCCAGGATCGCACATTTTGAAAGATCACAAATTTATTTTTTTTTAAAAAAAAAAAAGAAAAGAAAAATAAACAAACAAACAAAGAGAAAAAATGAAGATAAAAAATAAGTATGGAAAAAAGTAGCTTTAGTAAGGTGAGAAACAAATAAATTGCAACAAAAAGAATATAAGAACTATGGCAAAAGCCCGACTAAGAGGGCAAATGATACATAAAACAAAATTGCTGGAGATAATTAGTAAAACACTGGTAAATGTCAAAAAACAAAAGAAACAAACGAAACTATGAACCAACAACTACAAACAATAGTAAACGAGCCACATGATTTCATTTTGCACCATACGTACGAATCTTTTCTAGCATTTTATGATCGATAAGCTCTGCCCCACGACATGAACTACCCGCATATGGTTCATCAAGCTGCAGCTACAAAAGGTAAAAAATGCATCACACAAGTGATTCGCTTTGCCTTCTAAGAACAACTTGTAGATATAGTTCAACAATGCCACGATCTGTATGCAAACGACTCAAGCCAAAATCGCACCATTAACAAAGTCAATCATGTTCATTGTTCAGTAAATAGCGTAAGTAAATACACGAGCTATGCGAGTCTCCATATGGGACAAGACAACTATACCACATACGATCACGTTTGAAGTTGTTTGCCCCACGACAATGCCTCCAAGACCGAAGTTCACACGACCATGGATATCGATTTTTCTTTTTCTTTTTTATTTGTTATTTTTTATTATTATTATTTTCTGTTTTTGTTTTTACCGCGCAAAAGATAGATCCAAGAGCGAGATTTTTCTAAGCCCTTTTTTTTTTATGTTACCGCGCAATGGATAGATCCAACAACAGAGGCACAGTGGGGATCAGAAATATTCAGAGATAAGAATTGATTCCTCAGACGGAAATCATCGGTATTATTGCATCAAACGGAGCCATTGTACAGATAGAACTGCAAAGAGACCTCGGAGTAAAACGTTGGCCCCGTCCATGGACCTCTGATTAATGTTAGGCCAACCCAATTATGATGTACTCGTCATCAACTGGCAAGGAAAAAAAAAAGGTAAAGAGGAAACTATTAGCTTTTTATTAAAAAAGTAATAAAATAAACGAAGCTGTTTGGATATTTTTGTTACAGCTACTACCCCTAGAAATGCATCAACCATAAGTCATAAGCTTTAAGCTCGAAATTCAGTAATGAACTTCAAGCTGCAGAGATAGAAATGCATCAACCAAGTGATTTTTTGTGCCTTTGATAACTTGTACAGTGACTATAGTTAATCAATGAAGCGTGTTGTACGAACACGACTCGAGCCAAAATCACACAGCTTCGGTTAACAAAATCATCAATCAATCAACAAGCCGTTAAAATCCCACTAAGAGGGGTCGGCTATATGGATCACATGTCATCATCGTGCTCGATCGAAGCACATATCCCAGTTAACCAAATCAATCATGTAAGAAAATATCACATGCTATGTGAATATCCATACAGGACAAGACAACTATACTGGATATGGCACGTTTGAAATTGTTTTCATCAGCCAAGGAAATAATCGACCACACTTTCATTATTGTGCAGCTTCTGTCCTTTTGTTCTATTCATATTACTAAAGAACCAAATTCAAAATAATCCACGAAATATCATTTCCACAAAAAGTGGATATCGTGCACAAGACTCCAAATCGATTGCAGCAAGTCATTCAATCAGATGAGAAAGCAAAAATGTAATATTGGGCGTAAAAGTAAACGAAGTCCTATTCCCGGTTTCTCTATAATGCATTGATTTGCACATAAATTGCAAAGGTACAAACTAAAAACTCACTCTCCAAGATTATGACCGTTTGGTCAAAAACCGAATCCACCCAAATTTTCTCCAGCCATCTAACTAATCTGGTAATGATGGATTTGTGATGACGATGATGCTAAGGACAGATGAAATGGTTGAATGGAACTTAGAACACACAAGTAAGCTTATTCCTAATGTCTCCAACTCCATCTGTGAAAAATCAGGTTTGAAGCCTTGTCAAAATCCACGGTGATAGAACAACATAAATACACGACCTCAACATGGTATGGACCGAAATGCTCCTCATTAACCCCTAATTCATACAGATTTTTCGGAAAATCAATAAACCCAATTAAATTTACCGTAGGAACCCGAAATAAAGCAACGCAGGCCAAGAGAAAAATTGAAAGCCAAAAAGTGGTGAAACTGAGGGACCTGAGGCAGCTTAGGGTTAGTGCGCGCCGCCGTGTTGCTGCCTGTGCTCGAGGTGGCGGAGCTCCTCCGGCAAGGCGACGAGGTAGGAGAAAATCATCCCGCCAGTTGAACGGAGCTCGTCTCGATGTACTTGGCGGCGTAGTTTGTCGAGGCCGCGCCGGATTGCGTTCTTCAGGTAGCGAGTGGGAAAGGAGCCTTTAATCGCCTTTTATTCAAAAATCACTTTGAATAAGGTATTTTTTTCTCTTTAATTACAAAAATGTGGGGGTACATATTGGACATGAGTTGAAAATTGAGTCTGTCCTATAAAATTTGAAGGGGTAAACGAATTTTGTTTGAACTGATATTTGATATTTACAATACAATACGGTCTTGATGTGACAGATCAAGTGGAAGAAGGTTGGAATGAAAACGATATATGAAAAGAATCTGATGGTACATAAAACAATTCATAGTATTTTGATTTTTGAATGAAATATTGAATGGACAAATTAATGTATGATCGAACTTGACTAAACAAATGTAACAGTGCATCACTTAACTAAGCCATGGGAATAGAAGAATGAAGTTGAGATCAAATATTTTGTATGAAAATTTGAATGGGCAAATAAACTTTGAGTAAACTCAAAATTTGTGGGTATGGCCATGTCTTGATGGTAAAAAATTTTAACGGCGGGTCAATTGATTGAAACAGAATCTAGATGGTAGGTATGACCGGACTACAAATATGGTCACTCCATTGAATCAATGTGGGATGAGTTCAACAAGAAAATAATAAATCTTCTTGATTAATACTTTGTTATGTTTTTGTCAACTCAATACATTAAATTTGATGATAGTTTACTTTACCTTCCCAAAAAATGTATAAGTATAGTGGATAAAAAAAAAATTGATGATTGAAGCAAGAATAATAAGATCAGATTATTGGCGGGATATATATTGGAAAATAATATTTCCTCTTAATTTATTAGAGAAAATTACTCCATCTACTTATAAATTAGTTTTTTTACATGCACGTTTACCATTTTTTCTTTAATTTTTAAAATATAAATTTTCATTGATATGCTTTTTTTGTCGTCGACTTCTAAATTATAATTTTCTTTCTATTTAACTATTTTTGAGCAATTTAATAATGGTTTTAGTTTTAAAAAATGTTGTAAATTTTTTCAAAAAAGTCTAGTAAACGTGTGAAAAAGACCAATAGACTAAAATGATGGGTTTGGATTGGGCCTTTGTGCAGATTTGAGTTACGCATACTTAACATTTATTGGGCCAAACTCCTAACATATGAGGTCCACGTTCAAATTGGCCTAACATCCCCGAAGCCGGCGCCGCAGTCCATCCACGTCAGCCCTAACAAATTTCTCTTAAATTACAAACCAACCCCCTCACAAAAACGTTATTCTCAATCCACCCACCCTTGCTCCCTTCGCTATAAAATTACCCCACACTGGCAGTTTTCCAAACTCATACCCTGAAAAGGCCAGCTCGAATTACGTATACCAAACCCTAATTCGAACCGCCGCCTCACTGCCCTATTGCCTCTCGGCCTCCCAGGCACAAAGCATTCGGTGCTCCTCCACACCTCCGGCGAGCTGCTCGTGCCGGAGTTCGCGCCGTAGGAGGTGAAAGCGAGGTCTATGGAGATGATCAACGGCTATATCCACAGAACCATTGTCCGGACATCCTGACCCAAATGGCCCCAAGCTCGTACGGCATCTCCACTGTGTTCTGGAGATTCGCTAACGAGCCTGCGTATGGGAACTTGTACAGAGTAAGCTTGTGGAGCTGTCTTCCTGAGCTTTCTGTTTACCTCATGGTTTATTTATCATTGCTGATATACATAGATTCGTGTGTGTGTGTGTGGATTCATCCTTTTACCTATTTGATTTGAGCAAAAATTTTGAATTCGAATTAGTGTAGTGTTATGTGTTTCATGTAATTGATACATTGAGGAGATGAAGTGATGTTTATTTTGAGATAACTCAGTATCATTTGTTAATGATATATGTGTGTGAGTCGCATGCCAATTAGTATAAGAGGCAAATGATGTACTTTTTCAGAGAGGAATACCCATTGCATTTTGTTGGGTGTCGTGACACTCACTGAATAGGAAGATCTGATGCCTATCTAACAAATTTTAAATCTTCATTATTAGTGTGTTTGAATTTCTTTGTTTTGTGGGATTTTTCTTTACCTCAAATGCTTTATTTTTGTTGAGTGAAGCCTGTGATGACTACATTGTATTGAATCTGAAACGCAATACTCTTGTTTATGTTGAGTGCATTTTGACTAGGACGGACTGAGGCTTCACTTAACAACTTCAAATTTAAATAATTTATGCTTTCACCTTCCTTCCAAATACCCCCAAACAACCAAGCTCTAAGTTTCATCACATTTTTTTATTTTTTTTTTTGTTTCTGATGTGTGGTGTTTTGAAAACAATTTAAATTTGGCCCTTTGATATTGGTAGATCGAACATTACTGTCTTATACACTAGCGTGCAACTTTCTGAATGATGAGAACAATCATTTACAGTTATCCCTGTCTGATTAACTCCTGCTGAATGCTTGTAATCTGACATAGATGTTGCACTGACTCACACATGGATGTCTTTCCAATTTCACTTTGTTTTATGGGTTCTTCCCTGAGTCTTTTGCAACATTCTTTCTTGGATAATGGATTTATTTGAATGTTTTGTCCTCGATGGGCGTTTATGTTTACTGTTTTTTCAATAGATATTTTTTGAGCTTCTGCCTTTCAATGGCTAGAGGACAGCTCTATGTTATAGATTTGCTAGATGCCCTAATAATTTAGGGTAGATATTATAATTGAGCTTGCCAACTATAACTCTTAACTCTTTTTGCTTCGAGGATTTGCTAGATGCCCTCATTACTACGCACTGTCTCCTCAACCATTTTGTCCTTGTCATTTTTCCAGAAAATTGTAAAATCCTCTGTACCAGAGCGATTTTTGGCGAGAAAATATCTTCAGACAAGGTGAGTTTTTCATTTGATAACTTAATTCTGATTTTGGCGAAGATTAGTACAAAACTGAGGCGAGCTTCATATCAATGTTCGTATAACTCAGATCGGTAATCGTCGCTAGAGCAACCCTTCTTCTTTGTCGAGATCTCTTCTTGGGGAGATTTCCGAAGGTTTTGGGCACTCTCATATCCTATCGCCTTGGGTAGCGGATTTTCTGCAATTATCTCTTGGGATTGGCCATGAGAATTACATTTCTTTTCTCTATACATGCATTCTAATTTGTCGGTTATTGCCTGTGAAGAAATCAATGAATAAATTACACCATCTTTCGGGACTGAGTGGCCTTTTGCAGGGCCCTGCTGACATTCTGCAATTCTGAGGCTTGTAATTTTATTTATTTTTATACTTTGCCCTTTTGAAATTGTTTTCCGAGTGCTTATTGACGGTCCGGTGCTGTTTGAAATTGTGGACAGTACTTAACAAAGATCATAAGCTATAGTTATTGAGCCATCTCCCGTCTTTCGAGTCTTTCTCTTATCCCAAGAGATGAGGCTATCCACGCCTTGGCTCAAATTTTTTTTCAATTTTGAAACTCTGAAACTCTAAATCATATTGATTTTTCTATTTTATTTTGTATTGGTGATACTCACGATTGATTATCTTATACCAGCAAAACTTTAACTAGATAATGGATTGATTCACAATTTTGGGAAACATATTTCGATTATAGCCAGTCCTAAAGAACACAAATTTGGACATAGATGATTATTGATTATAGGGTTGATTTGTTCACAAATTCAAATTCTTTTTTTTTGGAATTACTAGTAAATTTTGAGTGGGTTAATTGAGATTAAAGATTTTAGACCTTACAAATCTTTGTGGTTGCACTTTTGTATGAAAGTTGTGCTATTGTCATAGGTCCGTACTCATTCGAAACACTCCAAACATGACACCTTTTAGCCCAAAATGTAATTTAGTTAAATGTGATTTGATGCAAAGAGCATTCAATTTTTTTTTTTTTTATTTTTATTTTTTTTATTATTATTATTACTATTATTATGATTGAGCTAATTTTATCACTTTTAAAAAAAAAAATTATGATTGAGCTAATTTTATCACTTTATGCCTTACCTTTGTTGTACTTATGTTCATGGTTACTTACCACAGAGGAATCAAACATTTCATGGGAGCTGAGATGTCATTGGCCGAGGCCTCCTATAATGATGAAGATGTGCTCACTGCACAATAAGAATGTAAATGAAATATGTCCGATGTTGTTCAAAATGTAATGACTTCTCTATGTTTAATTGTTTATCATTTGTTATAGATTTATTGTGGTGTCTCGTTTAATTCAATTGTCCAATATATATATATGTATCTTTATCATTATCCAAGAACCATGATGGTATTTGCCCAAACATGTACTATATGCTAATATTGTTTTGCACCAGCTTAGTTATGTCTACTGGAAGAACTAAGAAGAATTATTTTTAATGTTCTGAAATTGCCCCACACCATTGTTACACACAAATCAGCAAGATGCACTGGCAAATGCAACTAGATTTCAGTGAATGTTGCGTAAATGTTCAAAGGAAAAATACTCACATTACTCAATGTCTTTTCTTTTCTTCTCACTCAACTCGGATGGGACGGGTCAACTCTGTTTGACTCGTCTGTTATTATTATTATTATTATTATTATTATTATTATTATTATTTACCTTTTGATTTTTAGCAACTTAAACCCTTGATTGAGTGTAGATGTAAGATAAAATAAATTAAAATTTTATAAATTTTTAAATCTACACACTAAAGAAAGGTCTAACAATCGGAACAAAATTCCCATACGGTCAAATTTACCCAAAATTACTTGAAACAATTATATGTGAACTCAAAAAAACAGCCAAGGTCTAACACATGCGGAACAAAATTCTAAATTCACGAGTCATTTAATTTGAGAAATTATTATGTTTGCGGTGCAATTGGATATATATTCTAAATTATTATTATCTAATCCATAAAAAAAAATATCATTCATCCTTTTTATTTTTCTCATATTATTCTCCTCACGTTTTTTGATTATAATTATAATTTAAAATAAATAACTACTTTACATATTCAAAAACTAGTATATTCTGACACTTCTTTACACTCAATTTTTTTCTGTCCTAGAGTGACGTCCCTTTGGAAGAATTCTCCGTTTTTTCCGTTTCTTAAGCTGGCTAAGTTTGGAACCTCTCTGGACCTTTATCTTTGGATGCAAAAATGTTTGTCTATCCATGAATTTGAAATTTTTGCTCATCGTGGTTAATCTGAAAGAAATGCAAAAGGTGATTCATTGTAATAATCCCACAGAAAGTGTCAGGTTAGTGGCTGGAGCAGAAAGTATAATAAGAAATTTTCATCTTTTACCTGACCCTATCCCGTCTTTTCAAAGCTTCCAAGAAAATCAATTAAGCCACAGGCCCACAAGTGGCATCTTCCATCGGAAAATTCATTGCGACTTGACGTGGACGCTAGTGTTAACTTCGAAGAAAATAGATTTGGCATCGATGGAATAACACAGGACGATCGAGGCCGAGCTATTTTTGCCTTTGGAATGCCAGTCAGTAATCCGGGGTCGGTATTTCATTGCGAGCTCTTGGCCATCAAAACTGGGTTGGATCATTGTCGTATTCTGAATCAAAACCCTTTACTCATTTTCACGGACTCATTGTTGGCGGTACAAGCAGTTACCGACTTCAAAGAGGCTTTTGGTTATATTCGATCGTGGGCTAAGGAAATTGATGCACTTATGTTCGAAGCGGCGGAGTCTAGACATCTTCATCATATGCGTCGATCGACCAATAATGTCGCTCATGCCCTTGCTAATTTTGCTTCTGTTTCAAACTCCACTTTCTTTTGGAATGTGGATGTTTTTCCTTCTTGGCTTAAAGAACTTATCTGTACTAACTTACTTTCGTATTGATTTGTTAATGATAAGTTCTTTTTTTCCGGTAAGAAAAAAAAAAAACTAGTATATTCAATCACACGTATTTATAGTCTCAAAAATTATATTTATTACCTTTTTTATGTTTACATTTCGAATAATTTTTATTTTTATATCACATTAATTTATGTTACAATAATCTTTAATAATTAATGATTAAAAGAAAGCGTTATTGACTTCCGTTTTTATTGTACAACATGAACAGAGACGTATTATTTATAGGGTAAATAATAATTTGCAACATGTACTATACGCGAATTTGGGATTTGCAACCTAAAGAATTTTTTGTACTAAATTGCAACCTTTACACGATTTGTCTATATCGCAACCTCCGGCCATCGGCGGCCCATTTTCCACCGGAAAAACGAGCGTGTTACACACGCGTACCAAATGTGAGGGCAAAAATGTCATTTCATCTATCTTTCTCCTTCCTCTTTCATCCTCCCTCTCTCACACACTCTCACACACCCAAAGAGAATTAGACATGAAATTCATCATTCAGAAATGAAATGCACACTGAAACAGGAAAAACAAATGATATCATAAAAAGCCATTTATTCATTTATTCATGTGGAGAATACCACTTATTGGATCTTTTTTCATATTGTTTATTCAAAACCTTTGATAATTCATATTTGAACACTTATTTTATTCCCTGCATTTTGTATACTACCAGCAATCTCTTTGCACACTACTGAAATTACATTTTTGAAGGCTCAAAAGTCTGATTGTAGCACGTTTTGTCGCAAGGATACTGGCAATCGATACCCCGAAACAGACTCCGGTCGTAATACCAATCTCAGACTGCTTTAGCTATTGTCTGGACACAACAAATCCATACTTACTCGGCATCGATAATTACAAAAAGAAAAAAAAAAAAAAAAAAAAAAAAAAAAAAAAAAAAACGGAAAAGTGGGGGTTGCAAGGAAGAAGCCGAACATAGCGAAGAGAAATTTCAAGTACATTTATTCTTCTTCAGATTTGAGGCAATTTCAACAAATCCGTCTAGATTGAAGTCGAATCAACTTTCTTCTTCTTCCTAGACTTGTAAAAGAAAGGAAATTCCCATGGCTTCTGCGGAGAGACTCAGCTTGTGAACTGTGTCACTGATTTAGGGTTTATCTTCTGTTTATTGATTGTCTGCGCGCAAGATGAAGGAGAAAGATAGAACTGTGGCGCAAGATGAAGGAGATGATTGTCTGCACGCAAGATGAAGGAGAAAGATTGTCTGCGCGCAAGATTAAACTATGGCAAGATGAAGGAGAAAGATAAATGAAATGACATTTTTGCCCTCACATTTGGTACGTGTGTATAACACGCTCGCTTTTCCGGTGGAAAATGGATCGTCGATGGCCGGAGGTTGCGATATAGACAAATCGTGTATTAAAGGTTGCAATTTAGTATAAAAACTTATTTTAAGCTGTAAATCCCAAATTCGCGTACAGTACAGTTTGCAAATTATTATTTACCCTTATTTATATTTACTTCAAAATATTTCTGTTCCCAAGACAGAGTACCAAATTCCGTTCCAGCAACATCTGTTCTCCGGTCGGAGCTCTGACGGAGAAACGTAATGGCAGCCATGGAAGGGGTGGCGATAACGGGAGCTCAAGACCAACAGCCGCCGCCAACGAGAGTGGTGGAGCGGCTGAACTCGGCGGTTCAGCAGCAGCTCAACCTCGACTCGGTCAAGACTCGCGCAATCAGCCTCTTCAAAGCCATCTCTCGCATCCTCGACGAGTTCAACGCCATAGCCGCCACAAATGCTGTTCCAAAGTGGTATATGTCTTCAATTTTATCGATATTTGTATTCACTGAGGCCGAAATCATTCCTTTCGTGCAATTGAAATTTTGGTTTTTTTCTTTTATTTGTTTTGCAGGCAAGATATACTCGGGCAGTTCTCGATGGTGAATCTGGAGCTTTACAATATTGTTGAAGATATTAAAAACGTGTCCAAAGCCTTTGTAGTTCATCCTAAGAACGTTAATGCTGAGAATGCTATCAGTATGTTTCCTTTTTCCCTTTCTGTGTACGTATAATTGTTGTATGTACATTTGAATTGCTGCCTTTTTCATATGCTGCACAAATTGAGAGTTGGATCCCTTTCTGTTATCAGAAATACTATAGAATAGCATAGTTTGCACTGAGCTTCAGACCGGGGATTGTAATCATCAAGCATTTAGGGTGAATCGATTTTATTCAACACGAGATAGATGCTAAAGTTGTATGAGTCCTAGTATTCCTTTGAGATTTCATCTTTCGAGATAAATTACAGTAGAACACTTATGGTCTGAGAAATAGATTAGTAAACGAGAGCATAATGCAGGGATTATTACTATCAAATGAAGGGAAGGTTGTTTGGAGGGTTATTGTTCAAACATCTTGTTGGTCTCATTGGCTAGACCGAAACTTGAAAATCTTTGCAGACCCCGTGAGATTCTTTGAGATTTTATGGTAAAGTGTTAAGTTTAGGGCTGTACACTGGGTTTCAGTTAAAAAAGTTTCAAATATTTCCTAGCATCTGACATTGTTAGATACTCAAGTATTGATGTGTAATTGGTTAGGCTATGTTTGGTAAAACTAGCTGATAGCTGATAAGCTAGCTTATAGCTTATATATAATTATTGAGCTTATAGCTTATAGCTTATGATTTATAGCTGATAAGCTAGCTTATATGATAAAAGTGTTTGGTAAAATTAGCTGATAAGCTAGCTGAAATAAAAAATTCAACTAGCTTATTTAAAAAGCTACCTAAAGTAGCTTATGAGATAAGCTCGAGCTTTTTAAAAAAGCTCGTCCTACCAAACGAGGCTTATTTGAATACATGAAGCTTATAAGTTAACCAAATAAGCTATAGCTAACTTATTTGGCTTACCAAACATAACCTTAGTGTCCTTTGGGATTTTGTTCTCTTGCACAACCCTTGTCAACTCCATTATTAATAAATATGTATAAAGGACATATAAAATAATTTTGTTTTCTTGGAACACAGTTCTGCCTGTTATGCTGTCCTCTAAGCTTCTGCCCGAAATGGAGGTTGAAGACAACACCAAGAGAGAACAGCTGCTACATGGCATGCAGAGTTTGCCAGTGCCTGCACAAATTGAAAAGTTAAAGGTGAGGAGCCACAACACTGCTGGATTTTTTTTACCCGGCACTCGCTTAAAACGATCTAATTTATAGCTTATCCCAGGCTAGAATTGATATGATTGGAGCAGCCTGTGAAAGTGCTGAGAAGATTATAGCTGATGCCCGAAAAGCCTACTTTGGCACTCGTCAGGGACCAACACATTTGCCAACTATTGACAAGGTCCAAGCTGCAAAAATACAAGAACAAGAAAATTTACTTCGAAGCGCGGTTAATCATGGTGAAGGTGGATATTTAATCTTGAACAGCTCCATATTGCAATTGTAATATGTTTCCATTAAGGATTGCGACCATCACCTGTTTTACTTACAACTCTTAGTTTGGATCTGTCCCATGTGTTAACATTGTATACAAACCATACGTAGGGTTACGAATACCTGCAGACCAAAGGCAAGTAACATCTTCACTTCCAATGCATTTGGTGGATGTACTCGTTGTGAATGATAGCTCACAGACATTCTCGGATACATCTGGTCTGCCATTTAATCATACTATTTGCTTCACTTCACCATTTCTCTTTTCGAGTTCCATTTTTTTTTTTCTAACACTTGTCGTGATTTTTATGCAATTTAGGTATGTATCAGAAGAATACACCTCCACTTATGTCAACCCTCGGTAATAACAACCAGGGTCCTTTATTGCAGGTCAATAATTTCGTTCTCATCTAATTCATTCATTCGCATTGTTAACTGTCGACAAGCATTATTCGTTATACATACGTGGCGTGCCGTCCATGTTGCTACTCTTGGGGCATGATTGGATATAAAAATTTCCAATTCATACTCAATTCAATTCAAGTCAAAATCTAACTCAACTTTAACTCAACATCAATATCCTGAATGTTATCAATATAATTAAATAATATCAATCAATCATTCTTACACATTACATAAACTTTATTTCACTCTTCATCCACTCACATAATTTTAACTAACCATCACTTTACATCACCTCTCTCCTACTTTTACATCAAATCTAACTTTAATTATTTTAATATAAACTCAAAATCCTACTAACAACTGACCATACCACATTTTTCCAAATTACCCCGATTAAACAAAAATATCCATTTTGAGTGGAAATTTTTATATCCAATCACGCGATAACTCATCTACTGAATTAAAATTATTTTTCCCTGAATACGACACCAAACGAGGATTGACAATCTTCCTTTTAGAAAACCCTTCATGCTGCATCCACTTGATATTCCCGGTAGATCATTTTTTTTCCCTCTCATGTTTTGACTTGTGCTTATTATGATTAGGCCTCTGGAGCACAACTTATCGGGAGACCTGCAGCTTCCCCTTCTGGTGCTAATGGGTCAACCTCCTTTGATAACACGACTACATCTCCCATGCAATATGCAAATTCACCAAGATCTGGCGCAAACATTATGAACACGCCTTCTCCTCAGCAACAACAGCCACAACAGCTACAACAACACCAGCTCCAGCAGAGGCAGAAAATGATGCAGTTACCTCCACATCAGCAACAACTTCTAGGTCAGCAGCAGCTAAGACCATCATCGATGACTGGGTTAGGACAGGTATGATTTATATTCCGATTTTGGAANAATTTTCATTCAGCGCAACATGAGAATGTCGTTCTCTGCCATCTTCAATAACATTGATAACTCTGATAATTGAATGGTTGACGAGTCACTTGTCATATTGAAGTAAGGAACTGTTCTCCAATTCAAAATATGTTATTCAGAGTTGAAATTGTTAACATTGAAAACTTTTCATGCTTTCGTCCCTGTCTTGGCTTTTTGGTAGATACTATGAGCAATATGTTGTTTTTAACTTCGAAAAATAAAATTCGGGTAATGTGGCAGATGCACAACCAGCATCATGTGCAGTTTTCTCAGCCACTGGCAGCCCAACAACTACAGAGTAGGCAGCTCACATCAGCTGCTATGCATATGGGTCAAAGCCAACTGAACCAAGGAAATCAGATAGGCCGTCAACTAAACCAATTCTCGAGCGCTACAAATAGTGCTTTGTTTAATGCTGCCCAAACGACACCAGCCTCTCAGATGGTCAGAATCTTCAACTCTTTAACCTCTCTCTCTCTCTCTCTCACTGTGTGTGTGTGTTTGTGTGTTGGAATAGGTGCTTTTATTAGTAAATGTACTTTTCTTGGTTGTCTCTTAACAATTTGGACACTTGAGCTATGTTTGGTCAGCTAGCTTATAGCTTATAAGTGAATTTCGAGCTTTTAGTTGATAGTTTATGACTTGTGACTGAAAAACTAGCTTATTATGATAAAAATGTTTGGTAAAGTTGCTGAAATAAAAATTTCTATGGACTTATTTGAAAAGCTACCGAAAAAGCTTATGAGACAAACTTGAGCTTTTTAAAAATGCTCGTCCTACCAAACCAAGCTTATCCGAATACATGAAGTTTATAAGCTAATCAAATAAAAGCTATAAGCTTAGCTTATATGCTTACCAAACACAATCTTAATGGTGTATCTTATTTTCTTTATGATGAAAAGCTGCTTGCTATTTATGGTCCCACCCACCTTTTACCGATACTCGTAAATTTCAGATTCCGAACATGTCAGCTATGATGCCATCCCCGTCAATTCTACCAAGAATGCAGCAGGTTAGCTTCCTAATTTTTGTTCAACATTTTAAATTAACAGTCACTTTAAAATTTACAGGTTGGGTATCCAGCCTTAATCCCCCACCCTTTGGGGTGGTTTTCTTTTTTTTTGAAAAAAAAAAGTCACTTTGTCATGAAGTTCTTAACATCATGTTTCTCGAGCACAGAAACCCAAACGACCATCAAAACATCAAGAAATTACAAATTATTGTACAAACTATATGAATTAGTTCAATCCTAATGTAATATTTCTCCATTTTCCCACACAACCAGAATCCATCATTTTTTTTTTTTAAACAAACCCTTGTGTGCAGTACGGAATATCTGGCGGCAATCGGACTCTTCCTCCTCAAAGCCTGAGCGATCAGAGTAAGAATTACTTTGTTTTTCTATGTTAAATTTAATACGATTCGAAACTCCAGCCACATATCGGTTAAAAACTTACCGCTCAATTTTTTTTTTAAATAGTGTTTAATAGTATTGGAGGTGGCAATGCTAGTGGCCTGATTGGGGGCATCCAGCAACAGCAGCAATCGGCATTCGGGAACATGACACAGCAAAGTGGTCAGCATTTGCAGCAACAACAAATGGTAAACATGCCAAACGCAGCACAACAGACTCATCACCCGAGCTTTCAGCAGCAGAGACAAAACCAGCAGTGATTAGATACTGTGATAATCGATACTGATATGCTGCTCGTTCGTCACTCGACTCGTGTGTATGTGTAGGAATAACTGCTGCATTTTGAATGTTTTTATTTTAACGCTTATCCCATTTGCAGACTTATCAAGAATGAGCATTTTTCGAAACATTCATTGTTGTTTATTGCAGAGGAATGCAGAGGAAGAACATATTGCCTTGTTTAATGAGACTATTTCAGTTTTTGAAGCAAGTACATATTGAATTTTGGTGAACAGAAGAATAGCGTTTTCATTAATGACTAAATCTTACATTTTTCACACATTAAGAAAATAGTCTTTTATGTTTTTACAATTTATCAGATGTGAATGCTATTGGATTTATCATTCAAAGTAATCATACAATTGATTGGGGTAAAAGGAAACTATCAGAGAAAATGTTGAACTTATGACTCGGTTTTATAAGAGAGAAAAGACGAAGGGAAAACCTTTGATCATAGGACACGTTGAACTAATAATTTTATGAAATACATTTGTAAAAAATCTGATCGAATAACCTACAGAAATCAATTACTCAATCAAATCAGACAAACAATGTAAGGTTTTCCAACTTTCAAATATGCAACTATTTTCTTTTAATGTACAATTGCCGGAATATCAAATTACAAAATTTGAGAGACTATTAGACTAATTCACCAAAGGCACATAAGCAATAGCTTAAAATAGAAATAAAAAATTTGCTCGANGAATCATTAAAAAAAAAAAAAAAGGTTTGCTCGAATCATAATAACAGAATATTCAATTATGTTGCACTACTATTCGTTCTAACCTATTAAAATTCATTCCAAACCTTAAAAAACGTTCTAACCAAATGCAAAAAGCTTGTGAGATTGCCATCACGCGATGCTGACATGGAGTCTTGTGATGTTGACTCGTAAAAAATACCAATTACCAAATATCTTCTGTTTTCTCTTTTTCTCCATCAATTAATTAATTAATTAAATTATAAATTGTACTGCGAAAATAACAGCTTGCAAGACTTCACTGTCACTCGCTAGACTTGGAAAATCTAATGAGTATTTTATGAATGACTGCTGCCAAATTAATGATCGATTAACTTAATAGTTCTTGAATTACTTGAGAGATGGGGTAACTGCAATTGCCAATATTCTGACTAACTTCATAAACGTTAGGAATTTGAATTTGCAATTGAGATTTTGTCCAATGGGTAGTTTAACAATTTGAAATTTTAGTTCTCAAAAAATTGAAGGATTGTGGAGTGATAAAAATCAAATGTTGAATTGAAGCAATTGCTAGAGGATGATATTAGCCACAAACAGGAAGAATGTTTCAGTTCTATGTTATATATCCAATTAACTGGTTATGCTTTTTGTAGCTTTTTTTGCAGAAACTTTGATTAAAGTGAATAATTATAATTTTTAAATAGAATTTTCTGTTTATATTGGCAGCAATTAACTGATAATATGAACACAAGCCTGTTTAGTCGACAACTAAACCGAATTTGTGTTAGTCTTCTTGAA